GTTAGTTTTTAAATTTTAATCCTTATCTACTTTTGCCAGCAGTGTAAACTTTGAGAGAAAAGTTCATTTGGCACGCAAGTCTTTTTCAGGTGTATTTTTTCTTAGGCTTTGTATAAAAAAAGTACAAAAAAGAAAAAAACTGTATAAGGTTGGTCGAATGAATGGCCGTCCTAGTCACCAGTCCCGAGTCTATTAGATTTTTGAGTATGAGGCCTTATTTTGGACAGAAGGGGGAGTATAAGGGACTCAAAACGGAGAAAATTAGCCTATGGTTACAGAAGATATGGAACAAATTAACTGACGAGGACCTGCGTGCCGAATGAACTTTTCTCTCAAAGTTTACACTGCTGGCAAATGTAAATAAGGATTAAAATTTAAAAACTAATTAATACAACTAAAGTAAAATCTGTGGAAAATTATCAATAACATACTTTTTTCGCAAAATCTATAAAAGACTCTTCTATTTCTCAAAAAAACCTGGGTAACAGTTATTCGTCGCCACGCTGTATATAAAGTACGTATACCAAAATAAAGGGAATCAAATTTCCTATTAAATGAGATCAAAATTTTCAAGATGCATCCATCCGTTTTTAAGAAATCTTTATTTAAAAATTGCTTATTTTGAATTTTAACCTTTGATAATTTTTGTTGTTGTTGTTTGCCCAAAAAAAGAAGTACACCATTATACTCAGCTCAATCATCTCTATCGATTCCAATATTTTTTTTTTTGTTTTTTGAGATTTGAAGCCCAACTGCATTAGTTCCGAAATGAGTTATGGAATTCCAATTAAGCTTTCTATTCTGGTTTCACTATTGGATATTAACATTTATTATGGTAATTCTCTAGTGGAGGGTAACAACCCCTTAAAAAGGTCCGGAAAAGTCGGGAGGGGTACCAAACGACGCGTTTCGGCCCCCTTATTAACAATCTGGAGGGGGAGGGTTTATATTATTAACCATTTAAAAGTTATAAACAAAAAACTTTTGTTAAATTTCGTTGTTTTCTATGAGCAATTACCACGTCAAAAATGCACTAAATCACCAGTTTCCACTTTTAAAACACTACTAAAACGTTTCCGGTTATTATTTTATGCAAACCAAATCATTTATTCACTTTTATTTTATATATTTCGTTAATAAAACAGAGTAAACAAACTTTGCGCCTGCCAAAATTATTATAACCTCAAATCGCTGGTATTGCCACTTTATTTCCCATTTCGTTTGCGCTATTATACTCAGTTTACACTATACACTTCTTCTTCTTCTTTTTTTACTTTCACCTAAATAAGATATTCTTACCAAAATATAATAGCAAATTTCGCTATACCATGGCAGCGCTACATTTATGGTTTACAGTTATTTTAGCTGTAAATAAAAATAAGCGTCATGGAGTGCCAAAAGTGCGATTTTTTATTAAAAATTTTCGCCTGCGGCGCTTTTACCATAAAAATCAATACTTCGATAAATAATGAAAATTTTTAATA